CCACTAGAGAAATCATTTGTCATCTAAGACTGTTTTGGGGTCTCTTCCTTAACAATTTTGGAGACACCTCCTTAGCAGGGTAAGGTTTCTTAATGACTAGAGAGCTCTCTGGCCAAGCCACCAACTGGATTCTTGTCCACAACCCTCATGGGACACGTTGAGCCCTATTAAGAGTTCTGTTATCACTGCCCTCAAAATGGAGAGTTCCCACCCTTTTGAGAGCTTGAGACTGAAGTAACCCATGCCCAATTCTCAGGAAGTCTGCAAATAACATTCTGGTATTACCCTCTTATGCTCCTCCCTGGTTCTTCAGATTTTTAAGTCTTTGCTATTTGTACAGCCATTTGGATTGGCTGGAATCTTGCCCTCTTTGAATATCCTTGTCCAGTAGGGCCATTGACCTCAGAAGTATTAAATGAATATCTGATCAAATCTCTCAAGGCTTTGTCCAAATCTCATCATAGTTCTGGAGTCTTTGCCCAAGACAAATCTCAGGCTTGCTTGAGTCCTCTTGATGGAATGGCCTGGGCCAGCAAGACAACAACCAGGTGTGCAATGATAGTCATGGGAGATGTAGCAGTAGTAGTCACAATGCTATTACTTAACACACACAGGAATCAGGGCAGAAGATGGCTAGGGCAGGGGGGGGGGGGGGCATAATTCCAAACCTCCCAGCCAAAAACGAGGCCAATCCTGACCAATCTAGAGTCCCTGTCAGCAAATGTATCTTTTGTGAAGTGTGTATGTTTAAACACTGACATTCCCACACACCTTTCATACCATGGCCTTTGGACTTTCAGCTGACAGTGAAACCCGCCAATGGTTGACTTTTGGCACCATTACCTTCTTGGTCTGGAAAATGGTAATTTGAATAGTTCATTACATTATAACCTTCTCATGTGTTTGTTGTTTTTTTTTTAAGAAGAAAAAAATGAAAAACAAAGTGCAGGTGCCAGTGATACAAAGCACAGATATCATAAACTTAATCTGAATCGAGTTTAAGCTAGAAATCATTAGTGGTGCCCCAAAACTCATATAACATTCACCTAACAGAGACTCCCGAGAACTTGAGAAAAAAAATTATTCCTAATCCCCAGCATTCTGGATAGAGTGCCAAACTTGCCCAAGGCTGCTGGTTTGAGCCTTGTAGACCACAGTCAATCAAGTCCAGGCCAATTAGATTCTCCACCTCACCCATCTGCAGCCTTCCTGAATCCTGAGCCCTCCTCTGGAAGGAACTCAACCCCAGAAATTCGAAATTAGAAAAAAGGCAAAAGGCCTCTGGGAAGCACAGACTATGTAAATAGCCAAACAAGCTCTAAGATTTTCTGGGAGCCAAAATTTTCTAGATTGTCCCCCTTCAAGATCCAAACCAAGTGGGAGGCTTGCCATGCCTTCTCTCTGCAGACACAGGTTTTTTTGAACTTTTTGGAAGCAGAGCACCTGATAAATAAACCATAACACAATAAATTAAATTTGTATCACTGCATCTATCTCCCAGTATGAAAGAAGCTCCTGGTCTTATTCTTTCACGGTTTATATTTCAAGGCAAAATTTCAGCATAATTTAGAAAGTTTCCTTTTCTATTGAGTCAATTTGCTGTTTTTGAAATATTGTACAAATAACTCACATGCACCATGCTGGGTGGGTGAATAATCTATCTTTTGATGAAAAGCATAAGTTCTTTTTAGAAGGAATCATTTATTTCTTAACATCCCCAAGGCAAAAAAACTCCCAAGATAAAGCTAGGACTCTTCCCTTCTCTGGTTTATTTGACACCATATTTATAAAATAAATTCTCTGAGTCAAATGATCTTGAACATGTGGTGTTGGAGGTCTGTGCTTTTCAACTCTTAAAGAAGAAAGCTTTTGGGGAATGTTCATTCATTCATTCAATCAATCATTCAGTCATTAGACACTCGTTGAGTGCGTAGGACTTACAGGACACTGTGCTGGGTGGTAGTACTAACGGATGGGGACAGATAAAAAGATAAATAAGCAAGGATCCCTCCACACTGGGAGCTCAGAAGCACTAAGTACAAAGAGCAAATAGGAGACAGTATGGTTCCTACATCTGATTGCACACCAAGATCACACCAAGATTGAGAAACCAATTAAAAGTCTTAAAATCATAGACCACAGGCAGCAGTTTCTCTGACATCGGCCATAGCAACATTCTTCTAGATATGTCTCCTAAGGCAAGGGAAGCAACAGCAAAAATAAACTATTAGGACCACATCAAAATAAAAATCCTTTGTACAGTAAAGAAAACCATCAACAAAATGAAAAGGCAACATACTGAATGAGAGAAGATATTTGCGAGTGATGTATTTGATAAGGAGTTGATATCCAAAATATAAAAAGAACCTATAACTCTCAACACCAAAACCCCTAAACAATCCTATTGAAGTGGGTAAAGAAGACATATAGATGGCCAACAGACACATGGAAAGAGGCTCAACATCTCTAATCATCACAGAAATGAAAATCAAAACCACATGAGGTATCATCTAACACTTGTCAGAATGGCTGGAATCAAAAAGACAAGAAACAAGCGCTGGCCACGATGTGGAGAAAAAGGAACTCTGGTGCACTACTGGTAGGAATGTAAATTGGTGCAGCCACTGTGGAAACCAGCATGAAGATTCCTCAAAAAGTTAAGAATAAAACTACCATACGATCCAGTAATTCTACTACTGGATATTTACCCAGAGAAAACATAAACACTGATTTGAAAAGATAGATACACCCCTAAGTTTATTACAGCATTATTTACAATAGCAAAGATATGGAAGCAACTGAAGTGTCTTTCGATAGACAAGTGGATAAGAAAAATGTAATATATATACACAACGGCATACTAGGCAGCCATAAAAAAGGTGAGATCTTGCCATTTCCAATAGCATGGGTGGACCTAGAGAGTATTATGCTAAATGAAATAAGTCAGACTGAGAAAGACAAATACCATACGATTTCACTTATATGTGAAATCTAAAAAACAAAATGGATGAATAGACGAAAGCAGAATCAGAATCTATAAATATAGAAAACAAACTGATGGTTGACAGACAGAAGGGTGGTGGGGGGATGGGCAAAATGGGGGAAGAAGATATAGGCTTCTGCTTATGGAATGAATAAGTCACAGGAATAAAAGGCACAGTGTAGGGAATATAGTCAATGACATTGTAATAACATCGTAATAACATTGTAATAACATCGTATAGTGAGAGATAGGAGCTACACGGCATAGCATGACATTCAGAGAAGTCAAATCACTATGTTGTACACCTGAAACTAATGTAACATTGTGTGTCAACTATACTTAAATTTAATTTTTTTAATTTAAAAAATAAAAAACCTAAAGATTCTTGGGCCCCACCTACTGGGCTGAGACCTACTGAATCAGAAGGGCCTAGAAGAAACTGAGCATTTGTATTTTTATAAATAGTCCAAGTAATTCTGAGATTCAAGCAGGTATGGAAATTACTAAGGCTTAAATAGTATTCTAGTGGCTAGAAAATCCCACATAGCCTCTACCACAGCCACCAAAAGTATAAGAAAGTAAAAGTCAATTTTGCTTCTAGCTCATAGTCAAGATCAGGGTCACTGAGATCCTCACAGGCAAAGCCTAAAAGCTACCCTACAAAGAAGTGGTCTGGCTTGCCCAAAGAGAATATCCAGGAGGATATGCAACTTTAACTAGGAAGCCAAAGGTTTTTAGCTATCATTATGTTGTTAGAAAGTCAAATATACAGGGGCGCCTGGGTGGTTCAGTCAGTTTAAGCATCTGCCTTCAGCTCAGGTCACGACCTCAGGGTCCTGGGATCGAGCCCCACATCGGGCTCCCTGCTCAGTGGGGAGTCTACTTCCCCCTCTCCCTCTGCCTGATGCTCCCCTTGCTTGTGCTCTCTCCCTCTGTATCAAATAAATAAATAAAATCTTTAAAAAAAAGGAAGGCAAATACGTATTTCAGCAGTATGCAAGACTATTCACACAGACTCACAGCTCATCAGATCTAGGTGGAACCTCACAGATGGTTACAGGGCTCAGGCAGTAGCGTGAATGAGTGAAGCAGGCTGGAGGGGACAGGGGTTTCAAAGGGGGCCCCTGCTACTCCACCCTAGCTGGTACTTGCCCTGAAACAATGTGGGCCCAATGGGCCAGTTCTTCCAAATTTTCAAGCGAAGCCAGAAATCTGGATTTGAAAAACTCTCCATGCAAATAAAACAGACTTTGCAGACAGATTTGACCTGTGAGCCACCAGTTTGTAATTCCCGATGTAGCCCAAAGTCTCCACTTGACATATGAGAAAATAACTTTGTCCTATCCCTTGTATATTTTCAGTTTGGCCTGCCCCAGTAAGGAGAGAGAGTTGGGGTTGCATTACGTTCTACTTTTTTCCGTGGGTTTGATTTTTGTCAATTTTATCAATTGGTCCCAATGCTCAAAGGCAAGTTTGCTAAAAGCCACATGCATAGGCACTATGCTGTGCTGCCCAGATTCTCACTACTGCAGTTGGCAGGCCTTGGCTCGAAGCCCTCCCCTGGTGACTGGGTACTTATCAAAGTGACTGGTACTTATCAAAGCCCAGCACTCTCACCCCAACTCAGGACAACCCTGCAGAGCCACCCCAGCTTCAAAGCTCCCCAGGGGATGAGCTAACGCCTTGTTGTGGCCACATCACAGCCAGGCTTCTCCCTAGGCCCAGTCCTGCTTCCCCAACAGGTGTGGGTCCCACAGTACTCTGTTCCCCAGGAATCTGACCGGCAACGCCAAACACATCAGGATCCTAAAAATAACCTCATCTATGACAGTCTGGACTTGCAAAGTCAAACCAGGGAACCATTCTTTGCTTTGTGAAAATGTCTTCTGTTGTCTATTTCTAAAATTGGTTTTTTGATTTTAGAAAAACCACACTATGGTAGATGTTTCCCATTTCCTGCCCCTACCTCTGAGTTCAGCCACAACTGTGGCAGGCTCTTCCAGAAGTTCAGACCCACCTGCTGTTGACAGTGCCCGGCTCCTCTTTTGGCCAGTAGACTCGGGGCTTTTACTGATGGGCCCTCAGACGAACAGCCTGCAGAGGTAGGGATGTTTGTGCCAGTGAGGACTAGGAGCTGAGGGACTACTGTTCCATCCAGTCTCCTGGCTTTTGGGCAAGTCCCATGGCAAGGAGCTCCCATTCCTCACCCCGCAGCCTTTATACACCCTGACACGGGCTTCTCCCACCCTATCTCCTCTCTCCTTCGCTCCTCTTCCTGGGATCATGTCCCAAGTCAACGACACCAAGTCCTTCTCCATGAGGTTCTACCTTAAGTGGCACCCAGACCAAGAGAGAGGCATCCTTGATTTTTAAATACTCAATAATACACAAAAGTATAAGAAAATAAAAGTCCACTTTTGAAACATCCCTCCAGGTATATTTCTATGTATTAATGCCCATTTATAAGTAACTTTTTTTAAAGATTTATTTATTTATTTGAGAGAGCCCGCCCATGTGCAAGTGGGGGGAGGGGCAGAAGGAGACAACCTCTAGCTGAGTCCCCGCTGAGTGCGGAGGACTACGGGGCTCCATCCCAGGACCCTGAGATCATGACCTGAGCCAAAATCAAGAGTTAGACATTTAACTGACTGAGCCACCCAGGCACCCTTTTTATAAGTAACTTTAAATAAACTGGATCAACCTAGATACTCTGTTTGGTAACCCTGCAGGTCCCTTTAAACACTTGTACATTTAAAATTCAAATCACCTTCTACAGTTGTTTCATTTATTCACCCATTCATCTGACAAATGTTTGTTTCAGGTCTTCCATGTGCAAGGCACATGCTAAATACTGTAGATGTTACAAAGACAGGTCCCATGCCCTTAGGATGTTTTTATTCATTTTTCTATTTAATTTTTCAGGAGTGTATTGAGTGAACAAATTAAGGCATGCAATGTTTTCAAAAACCACACTAATAGTCCTTGAAATCTCATGCCATAGGATTAAATTAGAGTTTTCACCCAAGTGGCAGATATAAGATGAATGGACTCCTGGGTTCAAATTTTGGCTCTGTCATTAAGCAGAAGTGTGACCTTGACCCTCATTTTTCTTGTTTGTGAAATGGGGGAATCATATTAGTAACTATTGTCAGTAGTTGTGAGGATAAAATGAGATAATCAATATAAAGAACTTGGCATAGTGCCCGACACAAAGTAAGCGCTCCATACATTTTCACTCCAATAATAATTATTTTCATCTAACAATAACCTTGGGTCCACTCTGTGTGTAGCACGGATCCAGGGCCCATGGGAATTGGGCAGAATAATGAAACTCAAAACACAGACACTGTCCAGTGCTTTTACACTGGGCACAGTTTGATCAGCTTGGAGTCCTGTCACTGTCACTGGGAGCTAAGGCACCAGAAACACATTGTGTGCACCTGGTCACTACCTGTAACCATGGAGAGATTGGGCTCACCTGTCAATTTGGTACTAGCGCACAGGTGCACGTGGTGATTTTGCCACAACTGGAGAATGTTCTGGGTCCCCAGAGTCCTGCTCACAGCGTGCCAACCCTGTAGGGAAAACACAAATCAGAGAATGCAGAAGGGATGTAAATATCAGATTTGCTCAACTTTCTGAGTAAATATCTTGCTGGCATGGAGAGTCACGTTGCATCTCAACTCCTCAAGAAGTATTTGGTCAGGCAGCCACTGCCTAACACACCCCGTCCTGTCACTATGAACAGCATGTTCACCAGGAGCCTCTCTCTCGTCTATCTCTTGTAGTCCTCCCAGTGTCCTGCGCCGTCTTAGTCCTCCTAGACGCTCGATAAATATTTGTCTACTGATTGATTGCTTATAGATCTTAAATATCACTCTGGCAAAGAAAGAATGTAAGAAGTGTGGAGAATGATCTAGGCAGGGTGTCTCTTTTGAAAACCTGACTTTTCAAAGGCTTCCTGTCTAAGCTTTGAAAAGAGAGAGAGAGAGAGAGCAGATAAATTCAAATTATCCTCATGACGCGGTCGTGCATGTCTAGGTGGGAATGGAGTAAGAGCAGAGTGGCTGCCACTCCATGCACAAAAGATTACAAAACCAAAGAGGGGAAAAAAACAAAAAACAACCACCCAGAGACTGGAAAGCATACCTAAGGTGGTGACAAGAACAGGTGAGAAATGAAATTGTTCTACAGCTGAGGAAGGCAAGCCACTGTCTGAAGATATATTTTGTTTCAATTGTTCATTCCTAAGACAACAAAAAATGTATTAGCATTAAATTAGGAACACTGGAAACATCAGATCCAAATTCTACAAGGTAACAATTGGCTCCAGCTTATCCATATTCAGCAGTTTATTCACTCCAATTCACCACAATTCCTATCACCCTCAACTCTCTCCCTGCCATAAAGCTGCATGTAAGTTGCCATTTATCACCTTGCTTCTACTATTGTTTTTCTTACAGATAAAATTAGGAGGAAAATTGGGGCACCTGGCTGGCTCAACTGGTAGAGCATGTGACTCTTGATCTCGAGGTCATGAGTTTGAGCCCCATGCTGGGTGTAAAGATTACTTTAAAAAAAATTGGGAGGAAAATTAAATGTTTTTGCTTTCATGTCTCTATCAAAACTGGGAAAACAAAAGATAGACTGAAAGGGCCACATGCTTCATAAAAATGTTTTACCTACAGCCACTTCACTCATTTGTGGCACATTTGGACCTTATAGGCATCTTAATTTGTACCCTATATTAGTTTTGTATCGTTACTCTAACCAATGACTACAATTTAGTGGCTTAAGAATAACACAAATATGTTATCTTATCATTGTGAAGGTCAGAGGTCCAAATGGGATTCGCTGGGCTAGAAGCAAGGGGTCTGCAAGGTCTGCGTTGCTTCTGAAGCCTCTAGAGGAGAATTCGGTTCCTGGCCTTTTCCAGCTTGCTTTGCTGCCTGCATCCCTTGGCTCTTGGCCCCCAGCCAGCAATCCATCTCTGCTTTTACTCCAACCTCTGCTTTTAGTCATCACATCTCTCTCTCATGGTACTGCTCCCCTGTTGCCCCTGTATGGGTCCTTGTAATTACATTGGACCCACCTGGATAATTCAGGACCCTCTCCATCTTCAAGATACTTAATCACATCTACAATTCCCTTTGGCCATGTAATATAACACAGTCCCAGATTCTGGGGGGATTAGGATGTGGACATCTTTGGGGAGCCATTATTCTGCCTATCAGATACCCTGTTACAGATGCCAGGAATTATTATGCCACTGTTTTCTACAGAATTTCTAAAGAGATAAGAAAGGGCCAAAGGGAAAGCCAAACATTTCAAAACTTTTGAATATAATCCAGTTAAAATTCAACTTGCTCAAATTCTTGAACCTAAGCAAGGAAATAAGGAAATAGAATGGTGAAGCGGTATTACGTCAACATTTAAATCCCTTTCCAAGTCTGGAGAATTCCCACCTTATGAGTTTTGGTGGGAATCAGGACAGCTTCCCATCACAGGGTATGGATCTATTAGACACTGGCTTTCCCATCATCCCTTGCAGCTGGGGTGCAGGCCTGGTATCTGGCTACACCGATCAGAATGAGCCCCAGGGGCTTGGAATTGAGCACTGGTAGCACAGGAAGCAAGGGACAGGCAGCTTTCTCTCTTTAAGGGCCAGGACGAAGGCACTCACAGTTTTGTCATCAAAACCACTAGTTCTAAGGGGAAGTAGGACATTTTTCCTGCTTCTTTGCATTGAGCTTTGTGTTCCACCCTCGCCATCATCCAGTGAACTACCCAGTATTTTAATGAACTCCTTTCTTGCTTACCTCCATCACAGCCAGCCTCTTTTGCTTGCAATGAAGACCAGTGCGGACACTGTGTGGCTGCAAATAGAGTATACAGCTTAAGAGCTCTGGAGTCAACCAGAGCTGGGTTCAGGTCCTAGATCTGCCACTTTCTAACAGTGTAACCCTGGCCAAGTGACTTAACCTCCCTAAGTTTCAATATAATTGCAACAGCACTGACCCTAACTCATAGGCATATGGGCACTGGAACAGGATAACACAAATAAAGGACTTCATCAAGTGTTTAGTACATGGTGATAGCTCAGCAAAGAGCAGCTATTATTAATTTTAAAATCTTTGAGTTAAAAATGTCAGGAGAGAGTGGGGTGCCTGGGTGGCTCAGTCAGTTAAGCGTCTCCCTTTGGCTCAGGTCATGATCCCGGGGTCCTGGGTTCGAGCCCAGGCTGTTCAGCGGGGAGTCTGCTTCTCCCTCTCCCTCTGCCTCTCCCCTCCCCCTGCCCACTCGGGCTCTCTCTTGCTCTGCTCTCTCTTTTGCTCACTGTCTCTCAAATAAATAAATAAATAATCTTAAAATGTCAGCAGAGAATACCAACCATCCCCCAGTATTCATTCTCCTCTTTTCCTTTGGTAATATAAGTCCCAGTTCCAGAGGGGCACATGGCGACATGGAATAAGGCCTATCCTACATTCCCCTGAAGGTCAATTTCCTGTGTGACTTTGATTCTGGCCAATAGAGTATAAGCTGAAACAAGCATCTTCCAGGAAGTGTCCTTAAAGAGAGCAGGCATGCTCTAATTTGTTTCTTCCTGTTAACTGGAATGCAAATGTGTTGGCTGGAGCTTGGACAACTTTATTAGATCATAAGGTGGAAGCCAAGTGCTGAGTAGGTATAGTGGCAAAATAAATCGCTGAGAATCATGGAATCTTTCACAACCCCCGTACTGATTACCTTCGGGTCTCCTTTAGTCCAGAGAGAACTGAACTTGCATATTGTTTAAGCATGTGGTATTTTGGGTTGCCATCACTCACAGCTGAATCTGATCCTAATTGATTCAGGAGTCCTTCCTACAACATCCCTAGTGCTAAGTCACCCAACTTTTGTTCAAACACTTTGAGTTATGAAAGCTTCACTACCTTACAAGGAGCCCATTTCTACTTTTAAAAGTTGCTTTTATATTATACAGCTCATACGTGAATCCATCGTGATAGAAAACATGTAAAAAGTAAAAAATAATACATTTTAACATACGAAAGCCCCCATCATTCCTACCCACTTCCATGGATTTCCTTCCTCAGAACTAAACATGGTCAATAGTCCAGTTGTGTCTTTCTAGTCCAATCTCAATGCAATTACATTCTTAGTAGTGTAATAGTCATGAGAATGCAGAGGAGGGACCAAGTGAAAGAGAACCCAGGGCACGCATAAGTGATAAGATAAGGGGCCGGTGGAGTTGGGAAGGGAGGAGGGTCAAAAAGGAAACCCAGGGGTTGAGCCTGAGTGAAAATGGGTAGAAAGAGGGGGCACAGCAGGAAGAGGAGAAAGGATAAAAACAAGTCCAGGTCTGGGCAGTTTCACCTCCAGGAGCTGGCTGAAGCCCCAGGCAGAGGTCCGAGAGGTTTGGAATTGAGGATGAGGAACGCAGTCTCCCGCAAACAGCTAGAGGGAGAGGAGAATGGGGTGGTGTGGGGGGCAGAGTGCGGAGGGGATGAGACAAGGGCCAGAGGCAGATCTGCAAGAGGTACGGCGCCTTTAGAACGATTAAGAGAAAAAGCAACCAGAACAGAAAGCAAATAGGGAATTAGGAACACAAGGACAGATTTCCTTAAAATACGAATGTATTCCCTTTTTTTGAAGCTTAAAATAATGAAGTGAAAACTGAGGTGGGAAAGAACGTACGACAACTCAGCAACACATAGGTGTGTAAGGATGAGGTCACTGGGAAATTCTGAGAACGGCCATTTCCCTGAGCAGGGATAGTGGACACAGATGACACAGAATGGAGGAGCAGGGGGGCGGGGAGGGAGTGAAGCAGTGAGGACACCCCCCATTACTTAGGACAGGCTAAACTGTGCGGCGATCCCAGAATAAACCACCTCTCTCCAACAGCTCAGTAGTCTAACACGATAAAGGTTTAGTTCTTATTCACGTGAAGCCTGACGCAGGTCAAACTCCCATCTTTTTTTTTCTTTAAAGATTTTATTTATTTGACAGAGAGAGACAGAGAGAGAGAGGAAACACAAGCAGCAGAGTGGGAGAGGGAGAAGCAGGCTTCCCGCGGAGCAGGGAGCCCGATGCGGGGCTCGATCCCAGGTCCCCGGGATCATGACCTGAGCTGAAGGCAGATGCTTAACGACTGAGCCACCCAGGTGTCCCTCAAACTCCCATCTTAACAGCTGAGCCTTCCTGGACACAAGGCAGAGGACGTAGACAGCAAAGGAAGTGAGACACCAGCTTTTTTTTCCCTCTAGTTCTATTGAGGTATAATTGACAAATAAAATTGTATATATTTAAGGCATAAAATGTGATGATTTGATATACATATATTTTGTGACATGATTACCATAATCAGGTTAATTAACACATCAATCACCTCACCTAGTTACCTTTTTTGTGGTGTGGTAAGAATGCTTAAGATCTACTCTTTCAGCAACTTTCAAGTGTACGGTACAGATTAACCACAGTCACTGCTGTACATCAGATCCCTGCAACTTCATCGTCTTGTAAACAAAGGCTTGTGCCCTTAGACCAGCATCTCCCCATCTCCCCCAGCCCCCAGCCCTTGGTAACCACCCTTCTACTCTCTATGACTTTGAATTAAAAAAAAAAAAAAAAATCCCACACATGGGGAGACCATATAGTATTTGTGTTTCTCTTTCTGGCTTATTTCATTTAGCATCATGTCTTTAGTTTCCTTGCAAATGGCAGGATTTCTTTCTTTCTCCTGGCTGAATAATATTCCTGTGGGGTGTGTGTGTGTGTGTGTGTGTGTGTGTGTGTGTGTGTGTACTGCATCTTCTTTATTCATTTTTCTGTCGATGGACACTTAGGTTGTTTCCGTATCTTGACTATTGTGAATAATGCTACGATGAACACAGAGGTGCAATTTTTTTTAAAAGATTTTATTTATTTATTCATGAGAGACAGAGAGAGAGAGAGAGAGGCAGAGGGAGAAGCAGGCTCCCAAGGAACAGAGAGCCCGATGCGGGACTCGATCCCAGGACCCTGGGATCATGACCTGAGCCGAAGGCAGACGCTTAACCATCTGAGCCACCCAGGCGTGAGACGCCCCCAGAAGTGAGACTGCTGAGTCATATGGTAGCTCTATCTTAAATTTTTTGAAGAACTTCTATCCTGTTTCCCATTATAGCTGCACCAACTTACATTCCCAACAACAGACACCAGCCCTTTTTTACCT